CCTCGTGCGACTCTTACGCTTCTTTCGTGCTTAGCAACCTCCCGCGTGCATCCATAACTCAATAGTGCACGCTATGGCGTTTACCATTTGTTAAATAGTGTTCAATGGCTCAGCCAATCAGATTACAGCATTTGCATTACTATACTAGTAAAATTCTACCAATGAGAAATAGCTATAGTAAATCGTCTATTCGTAATCTATATGTCTGTCCTCTAATAGATCATAAGTAAGAACCAACAAATGCGGGAGTAACCTGACTTGTTATAAAATCGTCTCTTACTCTGACATCTTCTCTTGTTGTAATTACCTAGATTATAGGTTTAAGATCTTTATAGACTGGTCGCCAGTCTAACTGTAAAAATGCAAATATGTAAATTTAAGAACCAAATAAAAATTGCTTTTGTTACTTACCGTTGTTTTTATCATCTCCACTGCCCGTCATATAAATTGGAATTAATGTGGCAAGGAGGACAGCTAGAGTTACCATAGCAACAGCAGTCAGAAGGAACACTAACAATCTCCGATTAAGGCTGGAGGAAGGTACAAAGTTTACCACATACTTGTTTCGTTTCGCATTTCTCTTCTTGAGAGAGGTCGCCATTCTAACCTCAGATTTCCCTGGGCTCAGAGAGACGGCGACGGATTGCTGTTAAAGCACGTGGAAAACCTTCTTTTAGTACAAAGATGATACACTACAATATTAATTTGGTTTGTTCGTTTGTAGGTTTATTATGTTTATTATGTATATATAATTTTCTGCTCCTTTCTGGTTTTGGTAAATATAGGTGCCAACTAGAAAACCGAAAGGTTTACTTGACCCCCATACTCTAACTTTAATACTTATTAACCGAAAAGGTATATTGTAAGCATAAAAAAGCTGTAATTTTATCTGTAAATGTAAATTGTGAGGAAAAAAAGTATGTTAGTTGGTTGGTTTTCTGTTCAGGGTTGGTAAAAGGAAAGAAATGCAAACCTGGGCGATAGGGCATGATTTCGAAATAACCCTTGGCTGATATACACATACCTTTTTGAAAAACTCTCCTTTCTCTCCGAATACCGTACTACTTCTTCCTGTTCACGTGTGACTGTGTTTAGAAGATATTGTTCATAGTCAGTTTGAAATTTATTATAACACGAGTGCAACTTTGCTTTTATTGCAAAATACGCCCAAAACAGCGATACAGATCAAAAGGCCATTGCCTTTGGCGTGTTCGTAATTGCTCAAACCAAATTAGTTGGAATTCATTATTCGTATGCCATAACCATCTTTCTTATCAGTTTTGTTTAAGTGACCCAGGTTACACTAGCCGCACTGTAATAACAATATGTGAGCACGATTTTAATCTACATTATGATGAGGGGGCTATTTTTGGTTTGTTTTTCACTTCTCTGAATATCAATGGTGTTGATTTTTATACTGTTTGCTGAAACGATGTCAAAGGTCTGCACGCAAGCGGCTTGCGAGACATCCATATTCAAATACTTGTTATTTTTTACAGCGCTGGAGCCTTAATTAAAAGCAGTTTGTTGTCTACCAGTGATATAACACACGTTTACAGTTTGTTACCCCTCCTGTTAATAGCTGACTAAGTGTTAAATGATTTAAATAACTGTATAGAAGAATAAACTAGATCTTTCCGTGATCATACTGATACAGTTGTTTAAGATCGACATAAATCGGCGAGACCCAATAACTCATGTCTGACTGAGCCTTTGAAAAAAGTATTATCGATTCTCTGATATTTTTCACCACATTTCGTAGTGTGGTGCGAACCCTTATCAAATTTTTGAAACGAATTAATCTAGTGATTTCCCAGACTACATGAAGAGATAGTAACTGTTTTAAGAGCGTCACTTTTCTCAGTTTGTCTAGTTTACAAACTGTAATAATTTGGAATGTGAAGAGCATACCTTACATTAGTTTTAAGCCATTTTATTTCTGGCTGAAAATGAAAATATTAGTTACGATAACATTTTGATCAGCTCCGTAATCGAGAATTGGCGACTAAACTCTGCGAGTTCGTTCACCGAGAAAGAAGAAAAATAAAGTTGTCAGGTCCGACCTACCTGAGTTGCTTTTTTTTCCTTTTTAGCGTTTCGAATTGCTCTATAAGTAATAAGAAAACATAACTCACCTTTCAATTTGAAAGTCTACAAATTGGTGACGGAATCTAATACAGTATAAAAGAAGTCTCTTATCACGGTCGAGCAACGCGTTGTTGCTAAAACGTTTTGAGCAATGTAAACAGCGAGTCCCAGCTCAGTTTAACGTCCTTGTGCAATACAGGCCTGGTAATGTGGCTTTAGTTGAAAACAATACCCACTCTTGCATATAATTAGTTCCGTCGGTAACAGTTCACAAGCTCAGCGCACTTTTAAAATTGCTTTCTCTAAGCAGCATCGTATGTTCTGATTGTATCTCTTAACTACGTGAGCCTGCTTAGTTCTTAAAAGTCGAAACTGAGCATATTAGGTCAGTAAAGAAATTCAGGTCGATCACGTTTATACCTTTCGCGAACACGCCTGTTTCTAACTAAAGCTCAGCATTCAATCCAAACCCTTAAAGTTCCATTTTAAAAAGCTTAAAACCGACGTAATTTTAGCAATTTGCCACAGCGCTCGGATGGCGGGTTGCAAATGAAAGGTAGGGCCCAGTGGCCCATCAGGCGGTTTCCGTAGCATGAAGCGACCGGGAGTATTTCTACTCCCCCCTGGATGGGATGCTAGTCCATCACAGGGCTAGCCCCAGCATTAAGTTCGCCGGGACCCAAGTGCCGTC